CCCCCCCCCCCCCCCCCCAGCCCATCCTTGAGACATCCGGGCTTTCACAACGCCCCAACCGTGCTGGGCTTAGGTGGGCCGGTTGGCGGCCTACTCTCCCTGGCCCCCATTTCCACATGTCCCCTCCCTGGCCCCCCTCCCCCCTGGCCCCCCCAGACACCATATAAAAAGCCCCTCCCTCGGTGCATTCCCCTGGCGGGAGGGGACACACCAATCACCCTCCACACACGCGCACTTCGCCTGCCTCCTCCCCCCTCTTCCCCTCCCCCACCCATCCGGAGCGCGAGAGCTTTCAAGACCTCCCCCCCCCCTCCCTTTCTCCCCCTCAGCCACACACGCAGCCATGTGGGACACTCTCGTCCACTACACGGAGGCCTACGTGACCACGGTTCAGGCCATGGCCGAGCCGTTCACCCCTCCGCCCGTTCTCTATGTCCAGCGGATCCTCTCCAAGTACGCGGACACCATCGGCGTGCCGACCGACCAGCTGTCCTTCCTGCTGGCGGCCGCCGGCACCCTGTTCGTGGTCGGGCCGATCACCCGGTTCCTGCCCGGGCCGCCGCTCGTCCGGTCCCTCTGGGGCGCCCTGACCGGGCTTTTCTTCTGCCTGCTGGTGATCGGCTCCAACTGGGCCCATGTCGCCATCTCGGCCTTCGTCAGCTACGCCATGATGTGGTTGCTCCCCATGTACGTCCCCTGGCGGCGCCGGCGCCGGCCCTCGTTTCTCTCTCTCTCTCTCTCTCCCCCTCCCTCCCACACGTCTAACTCGTCCCCCTCCTCCCCCGCCCCCGCCCCTCAGTTCTATCATGCCCTACGCCGTGTTCCTCTTCGAGCTGTTCTACACCTCGCTCGGCCACATCCACCGCATGGCCGTGTCCAGCGCCCCGCTCATCATGGACATCACCGACGGGTCGTCCTCCGCCGCGGCCACCGTCCCGACCGCCTTCGACTTCTCCGCGCCCCAGATGATCCTCATCATCCGCATGACCTCCCTCGCGTGGTCCATCTACGATGGCCACCGGGTGCGTGTTTTCAATGCGGCCCTCGCCGAGTGGAAGGTCCGCTTCGCCCGCGATGCCAGCACCCCCGAGGCCCTGGCCGCCCGTGCCAAGATCGACCGCATGGAGCCCTCCCCCTCGCAGGTGGTCCGTGCCCTGCCCTCGCCTCCGAATGTCCTGCACTTCCTCGGCTTCATCCTCCACCCGGCCTCCTCCTTCTGTGGCCCGGCCTTCGACTACCATGAGTACATCCAGTCCATCAGCTTCGCCAAGGTCCGGCCGGATGGGTCGCCCGCTCCGACCGTCAACTACCTGCGTGCTCTGCGCCAGATGGCCGTGGCTCTCTTCTTCGGTGGGCTCTTCTTCATCGGCGACAAGTATGCCCCGGTGGCGGACCTCTACCGCCCGGAGCTGGCCCAGCAGGGCATCCTCTACCGCATCGGCCTGCTGTACTCCTCGCTGCTGGTCCAGCGCTCCAAGTACTACTTTGCCTGGCTCCTGGCCGAGGCCTGCTGCCTGGTCAGCGGCTTCGGCTACTACGCCAAGGGCACCGAGGAGCGCTGGGACGGCGTGGAGAACGCCAATGTCGGGGAGTTCGAGCTCGGCACCTCCATCCGTGGTCTGTCGGTCGGCTGGAACAAGTTCACCTCCAAGTGGCTGCGCACCAGCGTGTATGACCGCGTGCCGCCGGCCTGGGGTCTGGCCGCCACTTACATCGTTTCGGCCTCCTGGCACGGCTTCTACGCCGGCTACTACCTGTTCTTCTTCTCGGCCGGCTTCATGCAGGTCATCAACCGCGAGTTCCGCCGGAAGATCCGCCCCCGCATCATCACCCCGGGCTCCACCCCCACCACCCAGCTCCTGTATGACATCTTCACCTGGGCCGCCTCCCTGCTGGCGGTCAGCTACCTGGCGGCTTCCTTCGTCGGCCTGACCCTGGAGGCCGGCCTGACCGTCTGGTCGCACTTCGGCTACATGGGCCACTACCTGTCGCTGGTCATCTGGGTGGTGCTGAAGCTCATCCCCCCGCCTCCGCGCACCGCCGCGGCCCCTGGCGGCCCCAAGAAGCCGGTGGCTGCCGCCGCCGCCGCCGCCGATCTCACCACCCCCTCGATGGCCAAGGCCGCCACCATCAAGGCCGATTAAAGCGAGGAGCCCAAAGCCAGGCGGGATGGTGCCGGGAGAGAGAGAGAGAGAGAGGGAGAGACTCCCACACATGCGCATGGGCATGTGTCACTTCTCTCTCTCTCTCTCTCTCTCTCTCGCTCGCCCTCGTTCCATCCTCCTCCATCCTGATCCTCCCCCGGCGGCCCCCCTCCTCCGTTGTCCCCCGCTTCTGTGCCCTCCTCTCCAATTTTCCCTCGACCAGTTTCCTTTCCCGGCAACGTCTCCTTGTCCTTCTTTTCCTCTTCTCCCTCTCTCCCCCTCCCTCGGGGATTCCCCCCCCCCCTCTCTATTCCTTCGTCTCTTTGTCTCCCTCTCTCTTTCCCCCCTCGCCTCTCCTCTGACGGCTGGCCCCTGTCCTTGTTTTTCCTGTGCCATTGCCGAATCTCTCTCCGTCCTTCTTCCTTGCCCTCCTTTTCTTCCCTCTCTCTCTCTCTCTCTTCCTCCCCCACACGCGCGCGTGCACGCGCACCCCCCTCTCCCCCCCGTGTCGCGAGGCAAGCACCAGTTCCCCCGCCCCTCGCACCGGTCGCGCAGTGCCCAAGCGTGTCCCCACCTCTTCCGCGTGAAATATACACAAATACATACATACATGCATCCTGTGGCTCCTTGGGCTTTGTTCCCCCCTCCCCCCCGGCAGGGTTTCTTTCTCCCGTTGCCCCCCCTCCGCGCCCCAATCAGCGGTGTGTGTGTGTGTGTGTATGCGGGCATGACCCCTCGTGCCGTGTCACGCCCGCCGCCGCATGTGGCGACACGTGCACACATCTCGAGTCTCGGGCGTGTGCATGGATGCGCCTGGAGGTGGGGAGAGCATCACCGTGGCCAGGTGGCCATGAAGACCAGAGCAGGATGGGGCCCCGGTTGTGGCAGAGCGGGGGGGGGGGGGGGATCCCAGAAGGTGTGGAGGCAGTGCAAGGCGTGTGTATTTTCCCCGGAAGGCAGGCAGGAATGACCCTCACGGCATGGACCCAGGTGTCCCGCGAGTCACTCGGACTCGGCGGTGGGATCCTCCCAGCCCCAGTCGCTACGAGGGCAATCATCGGCGTCCGAGCCGCCGGCCGCCGTGCCGCCACAGTGCTGGCGCCAGGCCGCGCGCCAGTCGTCCAGTCGGAGGTACGACCCGCGGAGGTGCCGCTCACCGGTGGCCGACTCGAAGGCGGTGCGCGCATGCAGAACCCGACGGTTGTCGAAGACAATCAGGTCCCCCTTGGCATAGCGCCGGGTATGGTGCCAGCGCGCGTCAG